GCTAGCTCACCAGCTAGTATTCTTATCCACAAGAAGGATATCACTGTCGAAAAGTATACACCAAGGTACATCCTTCTGTAAATGTCTAGTAACAGTATCCATAAATAATGTAAAAGCATATGGGCTTAACGTCAATCCCTGATATAACTCAACTAAAATAGCAAAATATTTCTTCAAATCTCTTTCTAGCACCTAAACCCTAAGCTCTAAATGCATTCCTCCAATGAAATGAAAATAAAAACGAAAATGAAGATGAGAAGTTAACTTTCTCGGTCGTTTCGAATAGAAGAAGAGCAAAAGGAAAAGAAAAATGAAACTTTTTGGTCATTATTAAGTTGTGTTCTCGTCAATGTCTTCCCAGCTAGCTCCTGTTGCGACGGCCTCGTTAGGATTTAGTGATGAATCTGGTGGTTTTGGAGGAAACATAGAGGGGGGTAGAGGGAGATGCGAGGGTTTCAAGGAGAGAGGAGTAGGCAAGGGAGATGATTAGAGTAAGAGGGGGAGGGCCACGATTTTGGCGGTATAATGGATTATTTCCGATGACTCATAAACTGTTTTAAATCTTTTAGCTCTTAACACTATTACCAACGGGAATTCCGCCTCTTATTAAAAAAACTCTTCGATTACCGCCAAATAACAGGTTCAATGATAACTAACGGAATATGGTCTTCAGTTAATATTTGGTTATAACTGACTGTTTAATGTGTCGGTAATAATTAAAATCATTGGAAAAAATATTATTGTTGATAAGTGATGTCTTATCTTGTAGTTATGCCACCATCAGAAAATAGAACGTTTTTCCGTTGCAAATTGAGATGGTTGGTTTTAGTGCTTTTTCATGTAGTGTTTACTTTCTACATTTATACCAACTAAGCTGCAAAACACATTTTCATACGTAAATAAGGTGGCATATGAGTATAAATTAAAATGTAGGTGATAGATATGTAAATAAATAAAAATTGAGTGGTATGTATGTAAATATCCGTTATAAAATTGTGTTTGGAAGAAAGGTGTTTTTATACTTTCTTAAATTTTTTCTATAAATGTAATATACGAGTTTCAAGTATGCAGAAGTGAATAATAACGACGGTGATGATTATGATGATGTATGAAAGATTTATTATTAGTGTTATTAAAAATGAAAGAAAGTATGATTATAATTTAATCTTTTCAAGATTTGCATACATACCTCTCAATTCTTAAATTTTTAAATCAATAACTTTCAAAAATTTATGTCGTAATGGTATGATTAAACATAAGTGCATTAACCTAACACTTAAATATATGTATTATAACATGTTGGATAATGTGGATATCCGGTTCATCGCAATTTATTTAGCTTCTTAATTAAGATTCTCACACACCGCTCACCTACCGCTCTCCTAGTTTTTATAAATAACCACTTATGGTTTGTCATAAGCACAAAAAAAAAAAAAAAAAAAAAAAAAAAAGGTCAAGCCAAGTCCTCTAAAAGAGAAAGAGAGGAAGAGAGAGAAAAAAATAAAGATTTTTTTTTAAACTTCGAGGCGCTCGACGGTGTAATTACTCGAAGAAATAAAATTCTCTGCAGCTCTGTGGACGCAGGCAAATTTGTTGAACCACGTAAATCTGCGTGTCGCTCTAGTGTTTTTCTACGTGTTATTTTTCTCGTTTCATTTTTCACTTACTGTCGTCATTTTTTCACAACATAACATGCAGGCTTAAGATACATTATTTGATAAAATCAAAATCATTAAAATCTAACCTTTTTGTTTGGGAATATTTATTTGTTCAATTTAATATTTATTGAATATTTTGATACATTCTATTATAATTCATGTGGAAAAATACGTTAAAAACTCAATTCTATAATAAAAAAATTATATTTGCGATGTAAATACATATTTTAACATTTTCTAAGAAAATGATATCAAACTTTATATATATATATATATATATATATATATGTATATATATATATAAGGATATATAAGAAGAACAAGAAGAGGAGATTATTCTCCCTTGGCTTCTTCTGGGTGGCTTGTGACAGAAGAGAAATTAGGTTTATTTCTCTTGTAAATATATTCGGCGTATCTCGGTGTAGAGTTTTTTCAGTGTATATCGATGTAGAGAGAGAAGAAAATAGCAGAAGAAGAGAGAGAGCATTGAAGTGAGAGATTCCTCTTATAAGTCGACACAATTGACTTGTGTAAATTCCTCAAGTTGTAAAATCCTCTGCAACTCCATGCACGTATATAATTTGCCGAGCCACTTAAGTCTGTGTGTTCCGTTAGTTACTGTTTTTTGATGTGAATTTTATCGTTTTATTTTTTTTTTATGAAGTTCATTCTCCTATTTTATTTATATATATACCACATCAACTGGTGTATCTAGATCTCGCAACAACAATAATTAGTATCAGAGTTTTGTTTGGATCTGAGTATACCCAATAACAGCTATATACATCTTTATATATTTATTTATGCACCATACAACAAGAAAAAAAAAGTAGAGAAAATTTTAAAAAAAATCAATATAGGCAATATTTGTTTTTAATTAAATCATTTATAATAAAAGTTAGAGCGCAAAATAAAAATTCTTTGGAAAATATTTAAACATGTAAAATTGTTCAATTTTGTTCTGTTTATTTTTTTCTTTGTTTTAAACTTTGGATTTTTAATAATTTTTTGGCTCTTGTTAAAAAAATCATTTTGAAATAAAAACTAGAAAGATTTTTTTTTTATTTTTTATTTTTTCTATATATATATTTAGGAAGTTTTGCCTACTTGCCCCTAAATGTATCTACATATCTAACACCTATGCTTAAATTTTTAGGTACATGTCACTTTATTTATCTATGAAATGTGTAAAAATATAAAAGGTAAAGTTTAGGTGTTAGATATGTAAATACATAAATATTGAGTGTAATGTATGTAAATGCCCCTACTATTTATAAATGTGGACAACATTAAGATTTCAATTATCGAAGCAAGGCAGTCACAGTCACATGAATATTTATGCTTTTAGACACTTAATTTGAAAGAGAGCGCATATTATTTGAAAATGCATTAACCCTCAAAATTTTAGAATCACATTAAAATTAATAATTAAAATTATAATAATTAAAATTTCTTAAAATAAAAAAAAATTCCGTATATAATTCTATGGCATTAAAACATTACAATAATTAACATTAAATTTAGATGTTCGGTATATAAATACATACAAATTATTTATATTATCGATGTAGAGAGTGAAATAAATAGCAGAAGAAGAGAGAATATGCGTGCTTTAATTAAATGTTCGGTATATAAACATTAAATTATAATAATTAAAACATTACAATAATTAACATTAAATTTAGATGTTCGGTATATAAATACATACAAATTATATATATATATATATGTCAGATTATTTTCTATAAGGTGGTATTTTATTGTGAATTCAGATATATTCAATTTTAAAACTATGGGAGATTTTTATTTTAATGGTTAAAGAATTGAATGTCTTATTTGATTTTTGATGTTATCGAATTTTATACTTCTATAAAGTTGTGAAAAACCTTATAGATGAGTATTGTCCACTATAAGGTGGAACATACCATCTAAAACATTTTTTAACACAATCGTTTATACACTTCACCCTAATATGAAATGACATGTTTTAATTTATTATTATTATTTTTTTATAAATGAACTTTCTGAATTCTGTGGGATATAAGATCCATTAAATCACCTAAAACTAATTAAGGTAAATATAGGGACCAAGTATATTTGTTGTAAGGATAAAGTGGGAATCTAAGTCCAAGAATTAAATATTTGAGTATCACACCTTATTTATGGGAAATTTGAACCCGTGATCAGAAGGGACTAAAAACTTTCAGAGAGGCTGATCTACCAATTGGCCACGATAAGCACGCATATATATAAACTTGCATAATTTCTTATATTTGGTTGGATTTCGTAAATCCATCAATAAATTATGTTAATGAGTGCCCCCTTAAACTTTGATATATACAAGCTTGTCACTCAAATATTTAACACTACATAGAAATATCGCTATTAGAAACTCTAAATAAATGAAATACACCATTTTATGCATATATTTTAATGCCAAAGTGTTATGAACTTAAATATCAAACTTTAGGTGTTAGATATATAAATACATAAAAATTGCGTGTTATTTACTTAAACTTATCATAATTGAGCATCAAGAATGTGCCAACTCAAATCTCAAGGAGATCCAGCAGTTTATGAGACAGAAAATATAACTCATGAAGGCCCACTAGCAGAAGAATATTATGATATGACATATATAATAGTCTAATTTAACCAATCAATCATGACATTACAAATGTATATTTGTATAACATCCAAAAAAAAGAAAAAACAAATGAGTTATTACCTCGCAATCATTCAAAATATTAAGTATAATATTTTAACCACCCAAATTATTCACTACGGAGTTGTTTGATTGCAAAGATTTGTAGTGTATTGTAATTTATTTTTCAGAGATTTTATGAGATGAACTGTGCGGTATGAATAATCACAAATACAATGTAAAATATGAATAAATTTGAAGTTTACATCAAAGTTCATTTTAGCTAAATTCAAAATTATCGATTTGATCAAATTTGAGTTGCACAGTAAAATTTTGTCATCAAGTTGCCACCAGTCGCCGCCGATAACTATCCGCCGTATAAAAAAATATATCTTGTAATACATAGTTTTCAATCAACATCAAACCAATCAAAATATTATCATTAGATAAAAAGAACTCTAAATATTTCAAATACATTACGGTCAGAGTATTCTGTAATTTTTTTATACCTCATTTAATTTTTAGTAAGTTAAATAGTTCCTAATTTTAAGAGTGAATTTAGGAGAGTAATTCTAATAAAAAGGTGATTAAAGTGTTATCTTCAACATTCTAGTAGATTGATTTTTTTTAAAATATTTAATAAATGGAGCATATCTAATGATCCACGAATCCGAAACTCTTGATTGCCATTTATGTGTGCTTATATATTCTCTTCAGTCTTCACTGCTCGCTCTACTTCTTCGTTTCCAACACTCGCTTACTTTTCCACCCAAACCCATCTTGATTCCCATCTTTTTCCTGGCCGAACTCTAAACCCCAAAGCCCACGAACCCTTCTTCTTCTCTCGCAAGTCCCCAAAAACAACGGTACGAACCCAAATCTGTTTTCATGATACCTCGAAACTCTCCGTAAAAGCTCGATCTTGATTAGGCTTGGCGCGTCAGATCCATGGAGATCTCGCGCCCAATCCATCGCCTCGATTTCGCCGCCATGCCGGTAAATTTCTCCGAGCATATCTCGACAACAAAGAAGAAGACGATGAGCGCCGGAAAACCAAAGAGAATCGAACGCAGACTCGTTCGGATCATCTTCACCGATGCTGACGCCACCGATTCGTCTTCTAGCGACGAGGAATCTGTAAACCCTATTCCACGAAGAGCAAAGAAGCAGGTATACGAAATAGCTTTCCAGGCAACCCCAGAATCACCCCAGGCCAATAGGCCAGTAAAGGCGGCCTCTTTACCTGAAAACATTCATTCGAACAGATTCCGTGGGGTTCGCCGGCGTCCATGGGGTAAATGGGCGGCGGAAATCAGAGATTCGAATATAAAGAAGAGGATTTGGCTCGGAACTTTCGATACGGCTGAGGAAGCAGCAGCCGCTTACGACTCCGCCGCCTTGATAATCAAGGGAGAGAAAGCCGTCACGAACTTTCCGGCGTGGAAGGATCCATTGGAGAGAATCTTCGTCGAAGCCTCCCGCCCTGTTTCATCTCCCACCTCTGTTCTCCGCTGCGGCGACGAGCAGACTCCGTTAGATGGTTTCTGTTACGGCGATGTGGATGTATTCGGAGTTAGCGTGGATCCGCCGTTATTTATGACGGAGTTTTGCATGCCGAAGCGGCAGTACTGGGAAGTGGACTTGGGTGATTTTAATGCGGAGGATTTTTCAATGGAAGTCATCACGTAAGGGTAATATTATTTTTGGGAAAAAAAATTTTGATAAAAGATTTAAATTTATTTGGAATAAATATAATATATGAATTGATTTATTCTCTATATTTTATATTTATTCCAAAATAAATTAAACATTTGTAATAGCATTCTCATTAAAAAAAAAAAAAAAAAAAAAACTGCACGGTTATTGATGTGAAAAAGTATATAAAAAAATATTATGATGGGTGCAAATATTTAAATTTAGAATATAACATGTAAATATAAATGAAATCATAAAGACTCAAGTAAATTATCTCTATTGTACATTATTTACTCTTTTTATTTAAACATATTATTCCCTTTAGTGGACTTATTTAGTCCAAGGGTTCATAGAATTGCCAAAATAGCCCTGAATTATTTTTCAATTAAGTATTATTAATTTTTCATGAAGACTATTTCAACCCCAATTTAAAAGGTCTCGGGTTTTAAATGGCTCTATATAAATAACAGGGGATTATTTTGATATTTTACTCTTTTATATTAGCGGCACTTAATTCACCCATTAATTTTGAAAATTTCAAACTATTAATTAAGGGTCTGTTTAGGACAGCTACAACTTATTAAAAAAATAGTGGTGAAAATGCAGAATAATAATATGATACTTAAAAAAATACAACAACTGTTACAATTTTTTATAAAAAAAAGTAAGACCGCAATTAGAAAGTCGTCACCATATCTAGTTATGAGCGGTAGAAAAACACAATGCAGTTTGCACAAACAAATAAAATCGTGGTACGGTAACGCACCGCTGCCCCAAATGGACCCTAAACCTATCTACTTTCAACTTTTCATAGTCAATCTCAACTCCCTCTATGTGCAATTTATTTGAAATTTTATTTTTTTTAATTATAATAAAATCCAGATGTAAGTAATTTATTTGTTTTATTTCATGTATCTATGTAAAAGCAGTTTGTTGTTTATTGTTATATGAGACGATGTTTTATGGCAACAAAGAAACTGTTTTTATTTTCAGTTTATTGTTATATGAGACAATGTTTTATGGCAACAAAGAAACTGTTTTTATTTTCGGTATTTGTGGTGTTGAAAAGTCATCGCCTGTTGCTTGCTTTTGTTGGACCTCAATTATAGAGAGTCGTTGCGTTACAAGTGGTTCTCCGTGGGACCCACAATGATCTGTTGATTATAACGTGCATGTCTGATTAGCATACATAATTATATTGTTAGTCATTATACTTATTGTTTTAAAGGTCTACTTAGTCATTAAACTCATTTGAAGTTGTGGGTTAACTAACTGGTTCAATTATTATTTTTGGGGGTTTTTACATATATGACATTGAAAATCAAATATTCATATCTCGTACCTGAAACTTAAAAATTGAACTTTTTTAAAACAAAGCATTTTGGTGCATCGAAACTTATTCATGAATAAATGTATTTCACTTATAAAAATGATTATAGCGTTGTTTGTAATGTGATATTAAAGATTTGAGGGTTATGTGTGTAAATAAGAAAGTTTAGAAATGAGAAATATAAATATATAAGAATTGTGTGCTATATGTACGTAAATGCCCCTAATTTTTTTCAATAAGAAGAGTGCTTGAACTTGAAATATTTTTTTATTTCAACAATTATTGCATTGTAGACCATAAAAGAAAATTGTCAAAAAAAAAACAAAAATGCCATCTGCGCACATACCATACAATTCTTATGCATTTACAAATTTAGCACATAAAATTTCGTATTTACATAGACGGCATCCACATATTTGTATCAAATCAAATACATTACTATTATTTAAGTTTAAAAGTTAAAATACACTTTATATTGTCCAAGTTTGTGACATGAATATATTGTAGATGTAAACATAATAGTTTAGGATTTAGATATGTAAATGCATACCCTAGTGTGGTATTTATGCCCCCAACCAATTAAGTTTGGCTAACAATCTGATCAATGCATTAAATATGAATAGATTTATAAGCTCCCACGAAGAAATTCAATTTTACTAATAAAATGTAGGGGCAGTTACATACATACCAATGAATTATTATGTATTTACATATCAATTTATTTCTTTACATTTATATCACCAAAGTCTTTTAGATCACTATTTTAATAATTACAATATAAATTATACATTTTTTGTGCTTAATTATTTAATCACATAGAAGGCAATAGAGGGGCATTTACATAGTTACCATCCAAATCCAATGAATTTGCGCATTTATCATGTAAATCTTGCTTTTTTATATTCGTAGCAGCTAAATTTTTATATTACATCATAGAAAATTATTATTTTAAAATTTAAAAGTTAATTTAAATGTATATTCATTTATAAATATAAAAATTATAAATAAGTGTTAAATATTTAATTACATAAGAATTGAGCGATACGTATGTAAATCTTTCCGATTCATATAATAATAATTTATTACATCAAATTCCTAGCTGCTTTGAATGGAAAAGGTGGAAAGATATCCACCGTAGATCTGCCCCAACCAATCTTGGCGGTTGGATCTTTTGACGGACAGGGAGTTGTGCAGGCAGATCCGCATCAATGTGCAATCAAATACAAACTGCAACGGAGCCTAAAAAATATTGTGGTCGCGTTAACTGATGGCTGAACTTTGTCCACGTGTCCACAAAGAGATCGTACGGTATACCTAACGAATGGCCCAACGCTCGCATGCGCGCTGTCTCCACAAAATTTATAGTGACAGAATTATGACAAGAACGGAGGATAATAATATCTTATCCAAATTATAATCATTGTAGGATTACATATATACACGCTTAATATTCTCCCCTTATATATATATAT